GCAATCAGCTCATTTTTTTGAAAGTGCCGTTTATCGGTTTTTGCACATGAACTCTTCAAGTACATAATATTACATTAATAACGATTGCTATCAGAATGTGAAGAGACTTTCAGCCAACATAACAAAAAATGTTTTTGAACCAAATCACCCTACCCTGCCTCTTAATAAATTTAAACCTGAAACAATAAATGTAACAATTTAAATTTTTTATGAAAAATGTAATTAAATTAATTAAACTGCTGGACATCATGTAACCGCATATGTATATGAAGCACTAATTTTTTTTCCTAATGTAGATTTACATAAACAAGAATGTAAGAAAAATGCTGTTTTAAAATATTTTAAAGATGTTTATACCTATATCTAAATTAATTTTACAATTTTACATATTTTTAATTTAATAATTAAATCTCAAAATCTAAACCTTAGTGCAGGAATCACCTGATGCTGCCGTCATGCTCTCCGAATTCATCATCATTCAGTCCAAACTGATCAACAAAGTTCGCTGTCATCTGCTGGATCTGATAATCGGAGAACACCTGAGTTAAGAGAAAGATGCTTATTAAAGATGATTTGAGGACTGTCATTCTTCATGTTTTTGATACTTCCTATGATTTCACTGTCTTTTTCGTGAAATCTCACCAGGTCTGCTGTGTTTTTCTTGTTAGTTTCTGTTAGAGTTTCATTCACAAACTGCTCCCAGCATGCTTTATAGTCCTCTGGTAGCTCTGTCATACACAAAATAACCAAATATTTGAAGACAAAGAATGTGTATAAGAATATATATATATATATATTAACCACACAAAAATCCCATAACACTCTCAGCATGTCAGCTACCTTTTATTAGCTGTGAGATTTGGGTCTGTTCCTGTTCTCTCTCTGCATTCTGCACCACTGTATTGGCAATCCTGGTTAGATGACCCATATAGCCTTTTCTCATGCCTCCGGCTTCCCTATAACACACACACATGGACAGATGTTTTTATTACTATACATTAATATGATATACAAATACTCAACCAGCATATTGACTCCTCAGCTCACACATATTTAAATGTGTCCTTACTGTATTTTGTCATTTTCTTCCCAAGCATCCAAAATCCTCTGAACCAGCCTGCAGTCCTTCAGTAGCTGCACACACACACAATCATATTGCAATGACCTAGACATACTGCATACTGTATTTCACAAGATGCTTTTTCATTCATGCCATATATATATATATATATATAT